GAGCGATAAGCAAATGCAACCCGCTCCCCCATCCCCTTATCTCCGCACGGCGGCAGAGATCGCAGGGCTGCCCCAGTCTGCCCAGCCACATGCTGCAGCCTAATAAATACTCTGTTCTGAGCAAGCAGCCACGGCTGTGGGATGCAGGATGCAATTTTGCCCCTGTGTTTTGGCATGCTCCAGGATCCGGCCTTTCCAAGGTGCGAAAAACACCGCGGTTGCTGGAGAAGACAACAGGAGTGATGGCTGCACCAGAGCTCAGACACTTCAGGCCGTAAACACATCTCCGCCTTGAAAACCAGTTTAAAAAAATTGCCTGCCTATAACTGTGCTTAAATGTCTTCCAGTATGATTTTTTTTTGTTTTAGGAGCTGTAACAGAAGAATCCAGCACGACTACTCAAGCCATTAACTCCGCAGTGGCTTAAATATGCATCGGAAACGCTATTTGATTTTCCTGATGAGACAGAGACAGAAGAAATACAGTATGAAAAGCTTTCATTTGTACTGCCAGAGAATAGGTGCTAATTGTATATGCTCTCTCTCCGCATAGTTTAATTCAAATCAGTTTTAGTTTTGGACATTGCTGTGTTTATATCTGTTTATTAGACACTGATATCCCTCTCAGCTTGGCACTTGTTCCAGAGTTATTTTTAAAATGACAATTTCCCAGATAATTTGTGGCATGTGACGCCTGATCTTAAGGGAAAGCCATCTGTGCTTCTACTTGCCAATAACTTATCACACAACTGTACAAGCAATAAATATCTCATCCTCAAATTTAAGCCAGTGTCCCTGCATGTACTGTATAAAATCACTTTGCCACTGTACTGTACATGTAATCAGAATATTGTCTTCTCTTTTAATTAATAACTACAATACTCTGTTAAGTGTCTCGTAGAAAGCTCTCATGTTTATTCTACCTCATGACTGTATAGGGCTTGCATCTGAAATATGCTATAGAGCAGCTGAGTGAGTCCCCTGTACGTCCAGGGCAGACCCTGACTCCAAAGCAGGGCCCTTTATCTGCATGCAACACCAGTCTGGAAACTGTGCACTTCAGCAAAATATAAAAGTGAGAATTTTCATTGATTTCCGCAGGAAAAGGAATACTATTCTCTGCATGCAATGGCAATGAATCACATTAAATTAAGGGTCTCATTGGCTATTTTATTTTCATGCCTCTCATACTTTTTATGCGTTTGGGTGAAATCCTGTACCCATTTGCAGCCCACCAAGCTGGAATTTCCCCTACGTAAACATATACATTCGTCAGTAGTCACATAAAACGAAACAGATTTTTCTGCAGTCTTGCATTCATGGGAAATTTCTGATAGCTTAGTTAAACCCATCTGAAATCACACCTTTCCTTTGGCTGCCTGGTGCAGACAAGAGCCCAGAGCCGAGCAGGGCAGGGGCTCCAGCAGCTGAGCCACAGACAGCTGGGGCTTTGGCAGGGCTGGTGAGGAGCCTTCCCTGGCAGCAGCAAGCAGGTATTTCTCTTCTTCCCCTCCCCTCCGTGGCCGGGTCAGGGGTGACTTTCCCATCTGGAGGAATTTGAACGCCTCATTCCTACCCTCCTTACTCTGAGTCAGCTGCCCCTTGCACATCAAAACCTGCTTTAATAAAGGGCTTTGAGTTAGACGAGGAAAGCTGTCCTCCTCTGGCAAGGCAGGCGCTTCCACCTCGCTGCACAGGCAGAAACAAGAGAAAGTCTGGGAGGAAAAGCCAAAGGTTAGAAATGTCAGTGCATGGAAACACCTGCGTATGGTGATGTAGGGAAGGGGGTGTGCACAGCATGGAAAAAAGCTGGGGGGTCGTGCCACTGTGGCGGCCCTTTGGACAATGAACTGAGGCACCTCTCAGGGTGTAACGTGACTCTGGGGTGTAATTCTGGTGAATTGATACTTACCTGTGTTAGCCCACAAAAGCCGCCTGTTAGCAGGCTGAGCGTGACACCTGATGCATCTGCAGAGGACATCTGATGGCAACGAGGTGAGGGACAGTCTGCTGATGGTTCTCCCCTTTCTGTGTGCTGAAGCACACTAACATGAAGCAGGTAATAAGCAGCACAACCACGAAAAGGAGCCGACAAACCAAAGATAAACCCACCTTCTGCAGCCAGGCCTAAGCTGAAACATTTTTCTGGCAGGAATATGCAGTCCAGACACATGGAAAATTAGTACAGGTTTTTCTGTCAAAGTTTTACGAACCACAGCAGTGATTGCTAAGTAAAGAAAAGCGGAGGCTCGGCCGCACTTGCAAAGGCTGCAAGACAAGCACCAGGAAGGCCACACGTTGTATGGCCGTGCTGCAATGAGGAGGAAGAGAAGAGCAAAGCCCAAGAGGCTGCAGGGCCACAGGAGGGTCCTGCAGCCCATCTTCAGCAGGGATTGCTCAGGCTGGGCTTCGAAGGACTCGCACTGAGAAAGAGCCCGGCACACTCCTCTCTCTCCCTGGCAGCCCTGTCACCTTCTTCTTCCTCCCCTTCCACACCTGCAAGGGAAGACCACCAGTACGCACAGCTGCCCGCCTCCAAAGAGTCACCAAGCCAAGCCATCTCTCAAGGGACTAACAAAGGGCAAGAGGATCTGCTTTAACCCCCTGCCTGCACAGAAACTTGGGATGTTTGCCAGCCATCACCAAAAAGAAAATACCATTTTTTTATTTTTTTTTTTTTTGCAGTGTTGCTTGCCTGGGAATGTTACCTGGCTTTGTTGACACAACCGGAACACTAGTTCCTAGAGATATGCTTGCTTTTGCAGACATTGCTTTTAACTCCTCTATTTTTTCAGCCAAATAACAGCTTGCGGTCTGTGGACTGATGGCCAGGAGAGCCTGGAAGGCTGGCTGCAAAGCAGTGGGTTTAGGAGAGGGATTTGGAGGAGGAAAGAGAGTTCGAGAGATGTTCAGGTTCAGGTTTCAATGCCTGTGCTGGCTTTGGCTGGGGTGGAGTTAATGACATCCCTGGGTTTTGCATTCACAGAATTCCCCTCTGCAACCTCTTATCTTGTACCAGTTCTGTGAAGCTCTCCGGTGTCAGTCAAAAAATCCTCCCTGTGGCTCTCTTGCATGACTGGAAAACAAAGAGAAAAAGCATATTTTTGCCAGAGGATAAGTCCCATGTGACTTACCTCCCCACTGAGCCCCGCAGACACAAAGCCCACTCTGCAAGCACTGGGCTCCTTGCCCAGGCATCCTCATCCGGACATGGTGGGTGGCATGGAGCATCCCAGTCTGTGGGGGGACAATCCCCTGGCCTGCTGCCACCCAACCTCCTGCCTGTCCTCGGGGATGAGCAAGCACCCTGCCACCCCTGCCACCCAGCCCCAGGGCGGGCAGACCCCTCCACCGGCAGCTGCCCAAAGCAGGTGGGCAGTGGCCCATCGTCCCCTGGGCAGGGATCAACACCCACCTCCACCTTGCTGCCTCCAGCAGCTCCCCATGCTCCCGAGGCTGGTGGGGCTCACCCAAGGGCTTTGTGTGAGAGCTCAGCTGCTGGAGGAGCACAAGGCAGTGGGGCAAGAGAGAGGACCAGCCGCTGCCGCTGTGCAGGGAGCCCCCTGGGCCCACCTGCCCCAGCTTTGCCCTGCCTTGCTCACCCCTGGCGAGAAGTCCTGGCTGCCTGAGCAGTACAACATCCTAACAAAAATGAGGCTGCTGCCTCTGTTTCTGCCCACCCGAATGGGAGATTCAGAGTAAAATGACAATGTGGCATTCCCCTCTCTCCATTCCTGCTAACTCTGCTCATTGTTTTGACCGTGAATACTTGCATTTTTAGCCAAGCATCCCTCGGGGGGCAGGGGAGAGGCTCTCTACCCATCTCACCATTAGTCTTGTGCCCATTTTCCCTGCAGTGGGTAGTCCTCAGCAGTGGATGGTGAGCACCGGCATTCCCACCTACAGCAGGCATGTTGCAGAAACTCAAATTTCACTTACATTTGCAACAACTTACTAAGCAGATGAGCTGGCTATAAGATGAAGCCCTCCTACCTATACAAGTCCAAACCGCAAATGTTATCTTTCATTCAATGATTCTATTGTGATCCCTAAACATCCCACGATAAAAACCGAAATTACCCTTGTATGTGACTCAATTTATGCAGCAAAAGAGCCTTTGCAACAGAGACAAGTGCTTTCAAAAACAGTTGCCTTTTGAGACTGACATTCTTCCACTCAACATAGATATTCGTCTCTGCGTACCTCGTATGTTGATGACAGGCTATATGCGGTCAGTATTTGGACACCTTCTAAAAACAATCTGACAGATGGTTTCAGATCTCTGGGGAAAAAAAAGACCAGCACAGGAGCTAATGACGTCTTCCGAAATTTCCTTTTGCCCATACAAAACCACAGCAGCAGGGGCAAGCTCAAAGCATTTCTAAGGGTGAGTCACTGGAAGCACATCAAATGTGCAGGAGCACAGGATTTCAGGGACAAGCTACAAAGAGCAGTCAGAGAGATGATGTCTGCCCTTTTCTTTCAAATAGGGGATAGACACTGACCTGAGCTGAATTGTGCTCAAAAGCAGCCTTCTCTGGGCTTATCCATGCTTGAGGAGCTTCCATGGTTTGCAGCAAACAGACAGAAACATGGGATAAA